CACTACACCACCAGAGCTCTATTCTAGATAGCACCCAAAGTATTTATCTACTATCTGCCCCTTCCATCTACATGTATCTATTCTATATCACATATTATTTCTTTGTAGAATAGTTGCATAGTGTTATATGAATGAAATTTGATTTACAAATTACTTTTCCCCCTTTGATGATATTTGGTCTTCTCTGAGAATGTTTTGTTTTTGCTTTATATTTGGGGATCCATTTGCATTTCTTAGTGTGTGAATTCCTTACTCATACCTTTTGCCTTTCTTTACATTTGTTATTTTCCTTGTTCATCTTTAGGATATTGCTATATATTTTGCAAATGATTTCTCATAGTCTATTATCTTTTTAGTTTGATTGTAATCACTTATACCATTAAAAACTATATTTAGTATTATAATCAAATATTTTCCTTCATGACTTTTGGGTTTTATATTTATCTCATTTCTTTTCTTCTAGTAGCTTTAGAGCCCCCCTTTTTAATGTTAAGTGGTTGATAATTTATTGTTTTTCCATGATGTATAAGGTTAAAAAATATTTTTCTCATTGTAACTTGTTAATGATGCTATTGACTTTTCTATCTTTTCCCTATTAATTTGGAATGCAAGCACATTGAATATTAAGTTCTCTTACTTGCTTGGGTCATATTCAAGACTGGTAATTCTGTTGATATATTAGTTTTTCCCCATGTCAGCACTACCCTGTTGAGAGTACCAATTCCAAACCAATTGTCTCTTGTCAATTCCTACTCATAGAGATTCTATAGGACAGAGTAGAACTATTCCATAGTGTTTCCAAGACTGTCATCTTTATATATGCAGACTGACACACCTTTCTCCCATTCAGTGGCTGGTGAGTTCCAACCACCCATCTTTCAATTACCAGCTGACCACTAAACCATTGTGTCATCAGGGCTTCTTACATATTATCTGTGTGCTCTCAAATGTAGGCATAAACTCAGGTTAAATTTTACCCAATGGCATCAATTCCCATATATCCATTATGGTTCTTTTTTTTTTTTCTCTTTAATATCCTGCCTCAGTATTTTGTGAGGACTATTGCCGGCATGCACAAGGTCACATTCAAGTCAGATCACAAACGATTAAAATGATGGGTGAAAGAAAATTAATTTCTAAATAGTTGGATATAACTATGGTTATTCAAAGGGGTTATGGTGCTATTTAAGAGAATGGATAGATATTTCTAGGTTTTTGAGAAAATCCATCTTTTCCTACTAATTGTAGACTTTCCTCTACTTATTTAAATTACCAAAATTGCTATGTTCAGTCTAGATCCCTCTAATTTGCTCATAATTGAGCTTGTGTGGGTGCTGAGTTGGAAGCTCTCAGGAGCTGAATAACACAGCTGCCTCTTTGGCCTTTGGCATAGGGTTTCCCCCAAAAGAGATGCCCTTGTTGGCGGTATGCCAGGGAGTTAACATTCAAAGACTTTTTGATGAGGTATAAAAATCTTTAATTTCCAGACCTGGTGTTTTATGACCCCATAATACTGTTTAAGAATTAGTCTGAATTATTCAGGGGACAGCACTTAAATATTTGGCCCCTTCCTTTACCTAATCTATAGTCCCTTTCAGAGTTAAGTTTAAAATGCTATTTCCCACCAGTTTTTTTTTGTTTTTTTTTTCCCTGAGAGTTTTGTCTACTGTTTCAAATTGGCTTCCTCACTCTCATTTCAAGAGGGTGTTCCATAACACATCAGGAGCTGGCTGAGGGCAGTGCAGATGGAAGATGGTGGCCAGCTGTCCTGCTGCTGTTTAATGAGAGGAAATGAGCTTCAAGTGATGCATGAGGCATTTAGACAAAATTTTAGGAAGTTTCCTGACAATGAAGATTGTTAACATTCCATGTCTTTAGTCTCTTTAAAAAAAAAAGCATGTATCATGAATGACTCCCTAAAATCAAGACAATAGAAAGATTGCCTGCTACTATTTTTCCCCCAAGAACTGTGATTCAGCAGTTTTACTTTCTGATAGTTGTTTTTTCTAAATGTTTTCATTAGAAAATGTGTAGCTAACCGTACAGTTTAAGTAAATTTTAAATCAAACTGATATATCAAGTGGTAAATGCTTAGGTTTACATTTTGAATATA